AGTCGAAGGCCAACTCCAGGTTTTAAGGCCAACCCTGGGTTTTAACGACTGCTTGCGTTTAAGACACCACTGGTTTATAAGCTTGGTTTGGGTCGAAGACTTGACTGACACTGACACTGCAGACGCGTTGCGGCGGTGAGCACGCCGGACTCGCGAGCCGGAGGATCGCCGGCTCAATCTCCCGGAGCGGCAGCCGTGTACAACGATGTAAGTTCGTGAAATTCCTCCCCCCCCCCCCAACCCCTTACCCTCTGTTCACCCAGCAGCATGGATGGGTGCACCACGCTTTAGTCGATTGGAAGGTTGCGTGCGACGGGGTAGATTTGGGGGGGGGGGGGGTACCGCTCCCCGCTGCTTCCTCCAAGACGTCTGGGCCAGTGCGAAAGAGTTGACCAAACGTGCTCTGTTAGAGGGGCTCTCTCGAGATCCCTCTGGTGGACGCCTTTCTGTCAGAAGCGGCACGAGCACGGAATTGCAGGGCTGCGCCTTTGCCGAGGTTTAGGACCATCCCTGGGCTGAGGAGGAAGCCTGTTGCGTGAACCGACGGCTTGGGGAAAAGAACAACCCTTGGGGTTCAACCACACACTTGAGACCAGGAGCCTGAGTGCATCACCCCCCCCCCCCCCCCACAGTTCCACATCTCAGCCGCTCGCTCTCCTAGGCACAGCTCCGAAACGTCAAAGTCAGGGGCGGAGCCACAGGGGGGGCTGGGGGGGGGGCATAGCCCTCCCTGAAATTTTGGGAAAGTCGGTAATCGTGATAACCGGATATCTGGCTGCTGCAAAATGCTGCAGGCTGCCACCTTGTGCTGCCCTGCAGGCTGCCACCTCGTGCTGCTCTGCAGGCTGCCACCTTGTGTGCTGCCACCTTGTGCTACCCTGCAGGCTGCCACCTCGTGCTGCCCTGCAGGCTGCCACCTTGTGTGCTGCCCTGCAGGCTGCCACCTTGTGCTACCCTGCAGGCTACCACCTTGTGTGCTGCTGCCTTGCAGGCTACCACCTTGTGCTGCCACCTTGTGCTGCCCTGCAGGCTACTTGAGCGGCAGCCTTTCGAACTTATCAGCCACATCAGCGGCTCTGACCTATTAATAAACTCCGCGTTCAAATCCAATAAAATTTGTTGTATACATCTGTGACGCCCATTGGAAAACATAACACACTGGATATCTCAGAATGTTTTAGTCAGCCCCCCCAAAGTCCAAATCCTGGCTCCGCCCCTGTTAAAAGTCCAGCACGGCCAAATGATTGTTCGATATGTTCCCTGCTAAAAAGTAAAACCAGTACTTAAAAACACAAATGCGAATTTACTGAGCATTCCAAAATCACATTGTAATGCGAGCTTCGTGAAAATGAATTTTAAAAAACCCAGATACAACGGGATATACACCTCCCATGGGATTAGTCCGGTATGTGTGGAGTACAGTACAACTCTACACGCACACACATATCAACAACAGCATCAATATTCGCCACTCAGTGGTGCTAACGTTGCCGAGGCGCTTGTGCCAGGCTAGGTGCACTTTTGAGACCGTGTAAAGTGGTGATGGCTCGTTGGCAAGTCACAGTAGGGTAGACCCAGCTTGGCTTTACGGGGTTAATAGTCACCGTACATACTGATACACACAGCCACACACACACAGACACACACAGCCACATACACAGCCACACACACAGCCACATACAGCCACACACACAACCACAAACACACAGCCACACACAGGCATACCTACACACCACAGCCACACACACAGCCACAAACGCAGCCACATACACACAGCCACACTCACACATACCGATACACACAGCCACATACACACAGCCACACACACACATACCTACACACAGCCACACACACACACATACCTACACACACAGCCACACACACACATACCTACACAGCCACACGTACAGCCACATACATACACAAAGACACATTCACACACATGTACACTACAGACACGTTCAGTGCGCAACACACTGTACAAACTAATGCCTACATACATACATGTGCATACTGTACACGTTTTAGACGCACAAAGACAAATATCCCCCGTGTAGCCTTCACAGACTGTAGGGGCCGCCTTTGTCTCCCCAGGTACTCATTTGAGGCTGAGTCGACCTAGGGGAGGCCCAGGACCGGTTGTAATAATCGTCACTGGTGTTGGCCGTGAGCCGGATTCGAACTCGGGTCGCCGGGTTCGTAGCACAGCGTAGCGCTAACCACTACACTACCGCTACACACACAGTTACACACAGTTACACACACACAGTTACACACACAGTTACACAGACAGTTACACACACAGACACAGTTACACACACAGAGACACACACACAGAGACACACACAGTTACACACACAGCCACAGTTACACACACAGAGACACACACACAGAGACACACAGACACAGTTACACACACAGTTACACACACAGAGACACACACAGAGACACGAGCGAAACAGATGCCGAGAGATACACGGACGTAGATACATCGACAGACGGAGACAGACGAGATCACGGTATCACATCGACAGACGAGATCACAGTATCACATCGACAGACGAGATCACGGTATCACATCGACAGACGAGATCACGGTATCACATCGACAGACGAGATCACAGCATCACATCGACAGACGAGATCACGGTATCACATCGACAGACGAGATCACGGTATCACATCGACAGACGAGATCACAGCATCACATCGACAGACGAGATCACGGTGTCACATCGACAGACGAGATCACAGTATCACATCGACAGACGAGATCACAGTGTCACATCGACAGACGAGATCAGAGTATCACATCGACAGACGAGATCACAGTATCACATCGACAGACGAGATCACGGTGTCACATCGACAGACGAGATCACAGTATCACATCGACAGACGAGATCACAGTGTCACATCGACAGACGAGATCACAGTATCACATCGACAGACGAGATCACAGTATCACATCGACAGACGAGATCACAGCATCACATCGACAGACGAGATTACAGTATCACATCGACAGACGAGATCACAGTATCACATCGACAGACGAGATCACAGTATCACATCGACAGACGAGATCACAGCATCACATCGACAGACGAGATCACGGTATCACATCGACAGACGAGATCACAGTATCACATCGACAGACGAGATCACAGTATCACATCGACAGACGAGATCACGGTATCACATCGACAGACGAGATCACAGTGTCACATCGACAGACGAGATCACAGTGTCACATCGACAGACGAGATCACAGCATCACATCGACAGACGAGATCACGGTGTCACATCGACAGACGAGATCACAGTGTCACATCGACAGACGAGATCACAGTGTCACATCGATAGACGAGATCACAGTGTCACATCGACAGACGAGATCACGGTGTCACATCGACAGACGAGATCACGGTGTCACATCGACAGAAGAGATCACAGTATCACATCGACAGACGAGATCACGGTATCACATCGACAGACGAGATCACGGTATCACATCGACAGACGAGATCACAGTATCACATCGACAGACGAGATCACAGTATCACATCGACAGACGAGATCACAGTATCACATCGACAGACGAGATCACAGTGTCACATCGACAGACGAGATCGCAGTGTCACATCGACAGACGAGATCACGGCAACACATCGACAGACGAGATCACGGTGTCACATCGACAGACGAGATCACGGTATCACATCGACAGACGAGATCACGGTATCACATCGACAGACGAGATCACAGTATCACATCGACAGACGAGATCACGGTATCACATCGACAGACGAGATCACAGCATCACATCGACAGACGAGATCACAGTGTCACATCGACAGACGAGATCACAGTATCACATCGACAGACGAGATCACGGTATCACATCGACAGACGAGATCACAGTGTCACATCGACAGACGAGATCACAGTGTCACATCGACAGACGAGATCACAGTCACATCGACAGACGAGATCACAGTCACATCGACAGACGAGATCACGGTGTCAAATCGACAGACGAGATCACGGTGTCACATCGACAGACGAGATCACGGCATCACATCGACAGACGAGATCACGGCATCACATCGACAGACGAGATCACAGTATCACATCGACAGACGAGATCACAGTATCACATCGACAGACGAGATCACAGTATCACATCGACAGACGAGATCACAGTGTCACATCGACAGACGAGATCACAGCGTCACATCGACAGACGAGATCACGGCGTCACATCGACAGACGAGATCACGGCATCACATCGACAGACGAGATCACAGTATCACATCGACAGACGAGATCACAGTGTCACATCGACAGACGAGATCACAGTATCACATCGACAGACGAGATCACAGTGTCACATCGACAGACAAGATCACGGTGTCACACCGACAGACGAGATCACAGTGTCACATCGACAGACGAGATCACAGTGTCACATCGACAGACGAGATCACGGTATCACATCGACAGACGAGATCACAGTGTCACATCGACAGACGAGATCACAGTGTCACATCGACAGACGAGATCACAGTGTCACGTCGACAGACGAGATCACAGTGTCACATCGACAGACGAGATCACAGTGTCACATCGACAGACGAGATCACAGTATCACATCGACAGACGAGATCACAGTATCACATCGACAGACGAGATCACGGTATCACATCGACAGACGAGATCACAGTGTCACATCGACAGACGAGATCACGGTATCACATCAACAGACGAGATCACGGTGTCACATCGACAGACGAGATCACAGTGTCACATCGACAGACGAGATCACAGTGTCACATCGACAGACGAGATCACAGTGTCACATCGACAGACGAGATCACAGCGTCACATCGACAGAAGATATCACAGTGTCACATCGACAGACGAGATCACGGTGTCACATCGACAGACGAGATCACAGTATCACATCGACAGACGAGATCACGGCGTCGTGTACTCACGATTTCAGCGGGTTCTGTACAACGGTCGCCATGGCCCTGAAGTCCAACCGTGGAGTTGCGACTTGACCGTCTGTGTGTGTCTGTGTGTGTGCCTGTGTGTCTGTGTGTGTCTGTGTGTCTGTGTGTGTCTGTGTGTGTGTGTGTCTGTGTGTACCTGTGTGTGTACCTGTGTGTGTCTGTGTGTGTCTGTGTGTACCTGTGTGTGTGTGTCTGTGTGTGTACCTGTGTGTGTCTGTGTGTACCTGTGTGTGTCTGTGTGTGTCTGTGTGTGTGTCTGTGTGTGTGTCTGTGTGTACCTGTGTGTGTGTCTGTGTGTGTCTGTATGTACCTGTGTGTGTGTCTGTGTCTACCTGTGTGTGTGTAAGTGTGTGTGTCTGTGTGTGTGTCCGTGTGTGTATGTGTGTCTGTGTGTGTCTGTGTGTGTCTCTGTGTGTGTGTCTGTGTGTGTGTCTGTGTGTGTCTGTATGTGTGTGTCTGTATGTGTGTGTCTGTGTGTGTGTCTGTGTGTACCTGTGTGTGTGTCTGTGTGTGTCTCTGTGTGTGTCTGTGTGTGTGTCTGTGTGTGTGTGTCTGTGTGTGTGTGAGTCTGTGTGTGTGTCTGTGTGTACCTGTGTGTGTGTGTCTGTGTGTACCTGTGTGTGTGTCTGTGTGTACCTGTGTGTGTCTGTGTGTGTATTGTCTGTGTGTGAGTCTGTGTGTGTTTGTGTGTGTGTGAGTCTGTGTGTGTGTGAGTCTGTGTCTGTGTGTGTGCTGAGTGAGTCTGTGTGTGTGTCTGTGTGTGTGAGTCTGTGTGTGTCTGTGTCTGTGTGTGTCTGTCTGTATGTGTCTGTGTGTGTATGTGTGTCTGTCTGTGTGTGTGTCTGTGTCTGTCTGTGTCTGTATGTGTCTGTGTGTGTATGTGTGTGTCGCTCTGTGTGTATGTGTGTCGGTGTGTGTATGTGTCTTTGTATCTTTGTCTGTCTGTGTGTCTGTCTGTGTCGCTCTGTGTTTGTCTGTCGGTCTCTGTGTGTGTCTGTCGGTCTGTGTGTGTGTGTGTGTTTGTCTCTGTGTGTATCTGTGTGTGTCTGTGTGTGTATCTGTTGGTCTGTTTGTGCGTCTGTCGGTCTGTGTGTCTGTGTGTGTATGGCAGTGTATTTATATACGTGTATGTAAATACGTGTGTGTCGTATGTGCACCTAGCCTGGCACAAGCGCCGTGGTTACCGCCACTTAGTAGCGAATGGAGGTTGTTGTTGTTGTGTGTGGGTGTCTATCTTATCTTCGTATCACACGATCCATGCGTGTCAATGTTGGTATGTACACAGTGTGTATGTACAGTATGTGTATGTGTGTAAGTATGTCTGTCACTATGTGTATGTCTGTATGTCTCTGTGTGCATGCGAGTTGTGTGTAACAATGTACATGTATGTAGGCGTCTTGTGTATGCACGTGAGCTGATTGTCACTGTGTGTGTCTTAGTACGTGTCTGTGAGTTGTGTCTGTTAATGTGTGTGTCTGTGTGAGTTGAATGTCTGTTAGTGTGTGTGTCTGTGTGAGTTGTGTCTGTTAATGTGTGTGTCTGTGTGAGTTGAATGTTTGTTAATGTGTGTGTCTGTGTGAGTTGTGTCTGTTAATGTGTGTCTGTCTGTGAGTTGAATGTCTGTTAATGTGTGTGTCTGTGAGTTGAATGTCTGCCACTGTTAATAATGTGTGTGTCTGTCTGTGAGTTGTGTCTGTTAATGTGTGTGTCTATGTGAGTTGAATGTCTGCCACTGAATGTGTGTCTGTCTGTGAGTTGAATGTCTGCCACTGTTAATGTGTGTGTCTATGTGAGTTGAATGTCTGTTAATGTGTGTCTGTCTGTGAGTTGTGTCTGTTAATGTGTGTGTCTGTATGTGAGTTGAATGTCTGCCACTGTTAATGTGTGTGTCTGTATGTGAGTTGAATGTTAATGTATGTGTATGTCTATGCATGTGAGTTTAATGTATATAACTACCTTTATGTATGTACAGTATATGTATATGCGTCTATTAAGGCTATATGGTGGAAATGTGTCTGTGTTTCTGCCACGCCGTATGTGTCTGTCAATGTATATGTGTCTGTATGTGAGTTGAATATCACTGTACTGTATATGATATGTTTGTGTATGTGTCTTTTGTCTATATGTATATGTTTGTGTATGTATATGTCTGTCTGTGTGTCTGTCTATGTGTAGGTATATTCCTGTGTGTATGTGTCTGTACGTATGTGTCTGTATGTCTATGCCTGTATGTATGTCTATGCCTGTATGTATGTGTCTATGTATGTCTATGTCTATATGTATGTGTCTGTATGTCTATGTCTGTATGTATGTGTCTGTATGTATGTGCCTGTATGTCTGTATGTATGTGTCTGTATGTCTATGCCTGTATGTATGTGTCTGTATGTCTATGTCTATATGTATGTGTATGTATGTCTATGTCTGCATATATGTGTCTGTATGTATCTGTCTGTAAGTCTATGCCTGTATGTATGCGTCTTTACGTATGTCTGTGTCTGTATGTATGGGTCTGTATGTATGTCTATGCCTGTATGTATGTGCCTGTATGTATGTGTCTGTATGTAAGTCTGTGCCTGTATGTATGTGTCTGTATGTATGTCTATGCATGTATGTATATGCCTGTATGTGTCTGTATGTATATGCCTGTATGTCTATGCCTCTATGTATGTGTCTGTTATGTGTCTGTATGTAAGTCTATGCCTGTATGTATGTGTCTGTATGTATGTGTCTGTATGTATGTCTATGCCTGTATGTATGTGTCTGTATGTATGTGTCTGTATGTCTATGCCTGTATGTAAGTCTATGCCTGTATGTATGTGTCTGTATGTATGTCTATTCCTGTATGTATGTGTCTGTATGTATGTGTCTGTATGTATGTCTATGCATGTATGTATGTGTATGTATGTGTCTGTATGTCTATGCCTGTATGTATGTGTCTGTATGTATGTGTCTGTATGTATGTCTATGCCTGTATGTAAGTCTATGCCTGTATGTATGTGTCTGTATGTATGTCTATGCCTGTATGTATGTGTCTGTATATATGTGTCTGTATGTATGTCTATGCCTGTATGTATGTGTCTGTATGTATGTGTCTGTATGTATGTCTATGCCTGTATGTATGTGTCTGTATGTATGTGTCTGTATGTATGTCTATGCCTGTATGTATGTGTCTGTATGTATGTGTCTGTATGTATGTCTATGCCTGTATGCCACCGCGCTGAAGCCTGGCTCTTCAATCCGCAGGAGGTGCCGGTGATGATGCTGCTGCTGCTGCTGTGGTGGTGGTGGTGGTGCTGTGGTGGTGGTGGTGGTGCTGGTAGTGGTGGTTGGTGTGGGAGAGAGGGGAAGAGGCGGAGAGGCAGAGAGAGAGAGGGAGGGGGGAGAAGGGGAGGGGGGAGAAGGGGAGGGGACACGCGGGGGAGGGACGGAGGGAGACCGAGGGCTGAGCTGTGTTGCTGTCAGATGAGAGGTTTTACCCCCAGATCTGTACTCCAGTCTGTACTCTACAGCAGATGAACTCTATAGCAGCTGCTGCTGTCAGATGAGAGGTTTTACCCCCAGATCTGTACTCCCGTCTGTACTCTACAGCAGATTAACTCTATAGCAGCTGCTGCTGTCAGATGAGAGGTTTTACCCCCCACATCTGTACTCCAGTCTGTACTCTACAGCAGATTAACTCTATAGCCGCTGCTGCTGTCAGATGAGAGGTTTTACCCCCAGATCTGTACTCCAGTCTGTACTCTACAGCAGATGAACTCTATAGCAGCTGCTGTCAGATGAGAGGTTTTACCCCCAGATCTGTACTCCAGTCTGTACTCTACAGCAGATGAACTCTATAGCAGCTGCTGTCAGATGAGAGGTTTTACCCCCCACATCTGTACTCCAGTCTGTACTCTACAGCAGATTAACTCTATAGCCGCTGCTGCTGTCAGATGAGAGGTTTTACCCCCAGATCTGTACTCCAGTCTGTACTCTACAGCAGATTAACTCTATAGCAGCTGTTGCTGTCTAAAGAGAGGTTTTACCCCCAGATCTGTACTCCAGTCTGTACTCTACAGCAGATTAACTCTACAGCAGGTGCTGCTGTCAGATGAGAGGTTTTACCCCCAGATATGTACTCTAGTCTGTACTCTACAGCAGATTAACTCTATAGCAGCTGCTGTCAGATGAGAGGTTTTACCCCCAGATCTGTACTCCAGTCTGTACTCTACAGCAGATTAACTCTATAGCAGCTGCTGTCAGATGAGAGGTTTTACCCCCCACATCTGTACTCCAGTCTGTACTCTACAGCAGATTAACTCTATAGCCGCTGCTGCTGTCAGATGAGAGGTTTTACCCCCAGATCTGTACTCCAGTCTGTACTCTACAGCAGATTAACTCTATAGCAGTTGCTGTCAGATGAGAGGTTTTACCCCCACATCTGTACTCCAGTCTGTACTCTACAGCAGATTAACTCTATAGCAGCTGTTGCTGTCAAAAGAGAGGTTTTACCCCCAGATCTGTACTCCAGTCTGTACTCTACAGCAGATTAACTCTACAGCAGGTGCTGCTGTCAGATGAGAGGTTTTACCCCCAGATATGTACTCTAGTCTGTACTCTACAGCAGATTAACTCTATAGCAGCTGCTGTCAGATGAGAGGTTTTACCCCCAGATCTGTACTCCAGTCTGTACTCTATAGCAGGTTAACTCTATAGCAGCTGCTGCTGTCAGATGAGAGGTTTTACCCCCACATCTGTACTCCAGTCTGTACTCTACAGCAGATTAACTCTATGGAAGCTGCTGATGTTGCTGTCAAAAGAGAGGTTTTACCCCCACATCTGTACTCCAGTCTGTACTCTACAGCAGATTAACTCTATAGCAGCTGCTGCTGTCAGATGAGAGGTTTTACCCCCAGATCTGTACTCCAGTCTGTACTCTACAGCAGATTAACTCTATAGCAGCTGCTGCTGTCAGATGAGAGGTTTTACCCCTATATCTGTACTCCAGTCTGTACTCTACAGCAGATTAACTCTATAGCAGCTGCTGCTGCTGTCAGATGAGAGGTTTTACTCCCACATCTGTCCTCCAGTCTGTACTCTACAGCAGATTAACTCTATAGCAGCTACTGCTGCTGTCAGG